TTTTCAGAATATAATATCGAGCCACAATAGTCTAAAGTGGGTATCTATAATCGTTTGTAGTAGCATTTATTATATTTGTAGTTGTTCGTAGTAGCATTTATTTCATTTGTAGCTCTTGGAAAGGTTACAGAGAGTCATGATATTCCAAGTTGTGGATATAAAACCGTTTGTAGCTGATTGCAGTAGCTTTTATTTAATTGTACCTCCAAATGTATTGTAGTCACTATAATTCAAGCTAAGTATATAAAATCATTCGGTAACTTTTATTTCTGACAGTAACTACTAAAGTGTAAATCTACAATACACTAAATTTAATCGCAACGAAAGCATTTGCAGCTCTTGGAAAGTTAACAGAGTCACTATATTCCACGTTGTAGATATAAAATCTTCGTAATAGCTCTTATTTCATCTGTAGTTTTTCAGAATATAATATCGAGCCACAATAGTCTAAAGTGGGTATCTATAATCGTTTGTAGTAGCATTTATTATATTTGTAGTTGTTCGTAGTAGCATTTATTTCATTTGTAGCTCTTGGAAAGGTTACAGAGAGTCATGATATTCCAAGTTGTGGATATAAAACCGTTTGTAGCTGATTGCAGTAGCTTTTATTTAATTGTACCTCCAAATGTATTGTAGTCACTATAATTCAAGCTAAGTATATAAAATCATTCGGTAACTTTTATTTCTGACAGTAACTACTAAAGTGTAAATCTACAATACACTAAATTTAATCGCAACGAAAGCATTTGCAGCTCTTGGAAAGTTAACAGAGTCACTATATTCCACGTTGTAGATATAAAATCTTCGTAATAGCTCTTATTTCATCTGTAGTTTTTCAGAATATAATATCGAGCCACAATAGTCTAAAGTGGGTATCTATAATCGTTTGTAGTAGCATTTATTATATTTGTAGTTGTTCGTAGTAGCATTTATTTCATTTGTAGCTCTTGGAAAGGTTACAGAGAGTCATGATATTCCAAGTTGTGGATATAAAACCGTTTGTAGCTGATTGCAGTAGCTTTTATTTAATTGTACCTCCAAATGTATTGTAGTCACTATAATTCAAGCTAAGTATATAAAATCATTCGGTAACTTTTATTTCTGACAGTAACTACTAAAGTGTAAATCTACAATACACTAAATTTAATCGCAACGAAAGCATTTGCAGCTCTTGGAAAGTTAACAGAGTCACTATATTCCACGTTGTAGATATAAAATCTTCGTAATAGCTCTTATTTCATCTGTAGTTTTTCAGAATATAATATCGAGCCACAATAGTCTAAAGTGGGTATCTATAATCGTTTGTAGTAGCATTTATTATATTTGTAGTTGTTCGTAGTAGCATTTATTTCATTTGTAGCTCTTGGAAAGGTTACAGAGAGTCATGATATTCCAAGTTGTGGATATAAAACCGTTTGTAGCTGATTGCAGTAGCTTTTATTTAATTGTACCTCCAAATGTATTGTAGTCACTATAATTCAAGCTAAGTATATAAAATCATTCGGTAACTTTTATTTCTGACAGTAACTACTAAAGTGTAAATCTACAATACACTAAATTTAATCGCAACGAAAGCATTTGCAGCTCTTGGAAAGTTAACAGAGTCACTATATTCCACGTTGTAGATATAAAATCTTCGTAATAGCTCTTATTTCATCTGTAGTTTTTCAGAATATAATATCGAGCCACAATAGTCTAAAGTGGGTATCTATAATCGTTTGTAGTAGCATTTATTATATTTGTAGTTGTTCGTAGTAGCATTTATTTCATTTGTAGCTCTTGGAAAGGTTACAGAGAGTCATGATATTCCAAGTTGTGGATATAAAACCGTTTGTAGCTGATTGCAGTAGCTTTTATTTAATTGTACCTCCAAATGTATTGTAGTCACTATAATTCAAGCTAAGTATATAAAATCATTCGGTAACTTTTATTTCTGACAGTAACTACTAAAGTGTAAATCTACAATACACTAAATTTAATCGCAACGAAAGCATTTGCAGCTCTTGGAAAGTTAACAGAGTCACTATATTCCACGTTGTAGATATAAAATCTTCGTAATAGCTCTTATTTCATCTGTAGTTTTTCAGAATATAATATCGAGCCACAATAGTCTAAAGTGGGTATCTATAATCGTTTGTAGTAGCATTTATTATATTTGTAGTTGTTCGTAGTAGCATTTATTTCATTTGTAGCTCTTGGAAAGGTTACAGAGAGTCATGATATTCCAAGTTGTGGATATAAAACCGTTTGTAGCTGATTGCAGTAGCTTTTATTTAATTGTACCTCCAAATGTATTGTAGTCACTATAATTCAAGCTAAGTATATAAAATCATTCGGTAACTTTTATTTCTGACAGTAACTACTAAAGTGTAAATCTACAATACACTAAATTTAATCGCAACGAAAGCATTTGCAGCTCTTGGAAAGTTAACAGAGTCACTATATTCCACGTTGTAGATATAAAATCTTCGTAATAGCTCTTATTTCATCTGTAGTTTTTCAGAATATAATATCGAGCCACAATAGTCTAAAGTGGGTATCTATAATCGTTTGTAGTAGCATTTATTATATTTGTAGTTGTTCGTAGTAGCATTTATTTCATTTGTAGCTCTTGGAAAGGTTACAGAGAGTCATGATATTCCAAGTTGTGGATATAAAACCGTTTGTAGCTGATTGCAGTAGCTTTTATTTAATTGTACCTCCAAATGTATTGTAGTCACTATAATTCAAGCTAAGTATATAAAATCATTCGNACCTACTTTTTTATTTTCTTTATTGTACATTTATACAACACTACATTTACTCACCATAATTTGAATTTTTAAAATACATATATTTTTGTGTGGAATAAAAGTCTATTCATTAAATTTAAATAAATACGTTGATAATAATATTGAATAATTTTATTTGAATTACTAAAAACCCTCTTAACCCGGTTATGATGTAATAATCATCGACATGATTAAATTTTAGCTACCTGCTACAATTTAGTACACCTCATCTATACGAAAAATACATAATATAAAAATTTTGAATATAAGCACCAGTACATTTATTTACGATTTGCATACATAATAAGCTTTTATTACTCTCTTTCATTTCTAAACAGACTATAGCCCTTACCCCTTTTGAGATATCTTGAAAAACCCCTTTGTTTTATCTTTTTACACCCTTGGCCGGGGGTTGACCAAAAAATTACTGTCACTTATTGTTATAATGTACCTCATACTAACTCATATCAAAAATTCAGGCAAGTTGAGCAAAATTTTGATTTAAAGGCTTATTTAATTGTACTATTTAAATACAATCTTGAGAGCCAATAAAACGCTTGTCACCCTGTAAGCACCCGGCAACCGTCCATTGTTCATCCGTTACATATTCACAAATTCCAGTAAAATGCAATCTGTTCAAATCGCGGAAAATCTGGCCGTCCGGCAAATATTTGCCGAGGGCCCGGCCACCTCGCAAATTCCCTTTTTTCCCTTTGTGTTATTCTTCCGTCTGACCGATATGTATTTACATAAGAGTTACTAGTATTGAAAATAAACACCGATCGACGGCGGCGTGGAAATAAAGCCGTTTGATGGCTGATATAAAGGGATAAGGGAATTTTCCAGATGAATGGGCCGGAGCTCTGTGTTATCTCTGTCGCCCACCGCCGCATTGTGAGCCGGTTACGGTGGATGTGCGGAGGTGTCCCGTCAAAGATGACGAGGCCAGGGCCGGAGCTTTTGATGTCGCCTTTCTGATCGAGGGTGAACGGGAATATACAAAAAAAACGGGACGGTTTCCTGTGCCATCGCATTAAAAAGTTGTTTAAAAGAAGTATCTTTTGATCTTCGACAGCTTTTGAGCTCAAACGTGGAGATCTGTTATCGCCCACTCTGTCCGTTCCAATTTGACGCACAATTAAAAAAATTACACCTACGCGAATGCGTTTCCGTTGCGCTTTGTCAAGTTAATGAGTGGAATCTGTTTTAAATCTCCATCAAAGGTAAATGTAACGCAAACGTTGAATTTGTTTGTTTGATTTCAGTTACGCAGATTTTGTTTCATTTAATAAATACCTATAAATATAGAACATGGAGCGAAATGTTGGTTTACTATAATCGATTGACCGGTTTCAGAATTACTTTTTGTAATATTCAAATCTCTCGTTGCACTACACTGTAATAAGAAAAAACTAGAATGTTGTTATGCAATTTTCATTTGTTTTCAAGTTATAGCGTAATTGCAACTTTTAAAAATTTAAAATCAGAGTATGACATGTTAGGCCGGTCAAAATCGACACAAAAAATCGCTAAATTCGCAAAGCATGATGTATCTCTGATTTTTTAGTATGTTGTTTGGACCCATTAGGGCTATGTATACCCAAGTTTGCAACTCTCAAAAAATTGTGGAAAAATCTTTACACCAAAAACCGCGAAATTTTTGGACTTGTTTCAGTTTCTGCTCTATATCTCCTAACCCTTTCGTCGAAAGCTACTCTATGCGTTTTTTAAGAGCATCAAATTTGTGACAAATTAAGCCCAACCGGAATTGACCTACAGCAATTGGTTATCACATTACGACACTTTGAAAATAGGCCAGTTTTTCCAAAAATTGAAAAGTTTAGTTTTAGACCTCCTTTGGACCGAAATTGCGTCGAAACCATTGCTCCTACGAGTAGAACTTGTAGAATATAATTTGTAGGCAATTTCATTACCTTTAAATTGAGCGCAAAGCGAGGTCTGTAAGCCTCGTAGATCTCTCAAAATCGACCTCAACGATGTACGCTTCTGTACTTTTGTGAAGACAGCAGCCAACGCCAAAGCGAATCTGGCCCGTTTGCCCCCAACCACAGAGGCTGCGTCGTATCACCACTACCACACATACCACCAGGTGCAAAAGTGGTTGGGGGTGGAGAAAGAGGCCACCGACTGGGGTTGGTAATTGTCCTCGGCTGGACTCATCCCTATTACTAGTCGGCAAGCTCGTGCCCCCGCATCAAATGTTCTGTGATGTGTGTTACCTGCTCTGGGGAAACGTTCCAGAACGCTGCCTTTATCATCATTGAAGAGGACGACGATGACGAGCCTCAAGACAACCCTGACGATCCACCAATACGGGAGTACCTACCTATAGGGGACGAAGACGGCGACCCACCAATAGTGAAAGACATACCTATTAAACAGAGCAACGAAAGTGGCGGCTCAGGGTCATCAAAAACAAGGCGACGAATTTGACTGTGTCTAATTTGATTGACTGATTGATTGATTAAGTTACTGTACTTTTGATTACTTATGTTTATATTTAAATACATTTCACCGTTTTTAAAATGATTTCATGCCTTCTTTTTCATTACCAAACCAAAAAACAAAAGATAGGAAATGTTATGGAACATTTCTGGAAAATGTGATTTTACCTTATATGTTTTTTTTTGCGATTTTGAAAGAACTACGAGGCTTACAGACCCCGCTCTGCGCTCAATTTAAAGGTAATGAAATTGCCTACAAATTATATGCTACAAGTTCTACTCATAGGATCAATGGTTTCGACACAATTTCGGTCCAAAAAAAATCTAAAACTAAAATTTTCAATTTTTGGAAAAACTGGCATATTTTCAAAGTGCAGTAATTCGGTAACCAATTGATCTACAGAGCTCCGGTTAGGCTTAATTTATCACAAATTAGATGCTCTTAAAAAACGTATAGAATAGCTTTCGACGAAAAATGCATAGATTAGGAGATATAGAGCAGAATCTGAAACAAGTCCAAAAATGTCGCGGTTTTTGGTGTGTAAAAATTTTTTCACAACTTTTTGAGAGTTGCAAACCTAGGTATACATAGCCCTAATGGGTCCAAACAACACACTAAAAAATCATAGATACATCATGTTTTGCGAATTTATTGTCGAATTTGACCGGCCTATGTTTCAAGTTCAAAAGTAGGATATTTGTCAGTGTCACAACAACATTTGAGGTTTTTCTTATTATTTTATTCTTATTATTCCTGTTTGGTATGATTGTCCCGACTCAACCTGTGTGATTTGCTGGAATTGTGATATGTTACCTGGAAATCAAGTCAAGGTCATTTCATTTGACTTAATCTCAATTCAAGCCCCGCAGGTGACCTTATAGGGCTAAGCTATCCCCGAATTCAGGTTCAGCGACCTCAAAAGAATACATACCTACAGGATGACATTCGTGAAAGGCATTTTCTTTGAAAAAAACGACCTTTATCTGACCTCCAGGTGACCTTAGATAGCTAAGCTGTCCAAGTATTGTACCTACTGGTCAAAATTCATTACATGCCTCAGTTTTTGAATCCATCAACTTGAAACTTCGTGAAGCTTACTCAGTCCTACAGCCAAAATCACACAATTCCCCCCTCTATATCTCTGAAACTATCCATAGGATCACTTTGGGCCCGTGACAACTTTTGATCAGAATGTCGAGAATTATATCACAATTCCAGCCAAATCTAGCGGGACCCAATTTCCATTCACTTTGTGCGGGGTCCTTTAGATATTCGCAGAAAAATAACTTTTATCTACTCCCACTATAGTAAATAGACTATTAGTACATTGTTTTTAAGGAGGTAAGTGAGGTAACTTACCTCCCTAGGGAAAAAAAGCGATTTCGAGTTATAAATGCATATTTTATGAACAAATAAATAGAAATATTTGATGAATTTTACATTTTATTAATTATTATGAATGAATATTCGCGTTTACTAATTGTCACATTTTTCTCAAAATGATTTGACCGTTCCATTTCAGTCACGGGAGGCTCAATATTATCTGACTGATCCATTAAAACAGCATGATGCGACATACTACTAGAACCTAGAGTTGAAGTGTCATTGTAAAGAATCCTGATGGCTATTTCATTTTTGTTACTTGAAGTGTCAGCAACTTTCTGCAATTGTGGCTGATTTCCAACCACCATCTTGATTGCTAATACTTCAACTCCTGTATTAGCCAGTAACGTTGCCGATGTTCTTCGGAATGAATAGCCTGTATATGTTCCAGGATGTAGTGTAGTGTAGTTTCAAAAACTGTGCAATCTTATTAGGGAATCATAGCGCTCTTTCTACCTCTCGTGGAGGATAATTTACATCCCCTCGGACGTGGGATTCTACACTTTGATCGGAATTGGTCATGCGTACAGTGATTGGAGACGGCTTTGTGGTTCCGATTGGAAAGTTGAGCGAAAATTTGATATGCGGCACTATGTAAATAGAGACTGAATTAAGCATATAAAATATTTTCCATCATTTTACTTTAATTAGCTGTACTCGCAACAAAATTAAGACAACCCACAACAATTTTTTTTTTTGTTAAATTGTACATGAAATAGAATGTTCCACGAAAGGTACTCATCTGTGTTTTCGAGATGAACATTTATTCAGAGATTAGTAATTCGGAAACAAGGAAATGAAATTGAGAAACTTTTTCTGTAACAGATAATAAAAATATACATCTATAGCGTTATACGATATCGCAGATAATGGCAAAACTTTTCCTTTGTGGACTGCCTGAACTGGTTTTATCATGTTCGTCCTTTATTTTATATTAGGCCGCAGACATATTGTGAACGGCACGAATTTAACGGTCCATCGAATCGCGTCATATAAATTATGGCCGGCAGAGAAGCAAGGGGATTAAATCAGACCGGAGTTAAGGATCATATAAGATTAATCGATCGATGTCGCGTCTCCTTTTCCACATAGGAGTTCGATTAATTTTCAGTCGCCTGTACGTGTTGTCTTAGTTACAGGCGTCATCGTTTCTCTGGATTATCGGATGGATTTGATGAAATGTTGTATTCTGTTAGGTGTGCCACACACGTTACGATCAGTCTGTCAAATTGTACAGGGCCTTTCACATAAAATTCGACATAGGAAAATTATGGTAAAACCAAAGTTTTATGAATCTTAGTTGATTGTAGTAAAGTTTATTGCGATAGTAACTCCTCGACAACTAACATATACTGAAGAAAAAAGTATTTGGATCAAATAAGCAGTGTTAAATGGAATTATTTGCCGTAAATGTTATTTTATTCTATTCAATATATGATTTAATTCAAATCTTTTATAGTTTTGAAATTTATTATCTCAGACATATTTGTTTTCTTAAAATATATATGTATATTTAAAATTTAGTATTAACGTAGGAATTATTCAAGACATATTAGCATATTATAATTAAACTTTTAATGAAACAAAATTGTAGCACGCGCGCCGTTATTTCATGGCTAGAAATTGGCCTCAATGATTTGGGATCGAGGGGGATTATCCCTCTTTNTGTGAACGGCACGAATTTAACGGTCCATCGAATCGCGTCATATAAATTATGGCCGGCAGAGAAGAAAGGGGATTAAATCAGACCGGAGTTAAGGATCATATAAGATTAATCGATCGATGTCGCGTCTCCTTTTCCACATAGAAGTTCGATTAATTTTCAGTCGCCTTTACGTGTTGTCTTAGTTACAGGCGTCATCGTTTCTCTGGATTATCGGATGGATTTGATGAAATGTTGTATTCTGTTAGGTGTGCCACACACGTTCCGATCAATGTGTCAAATTGTACTGGTTCATTCACATAAAATTCGACCTAGGAAAAATATGGTAAAGATTAGGTAATCGAGTAGTGCATGTTAGAGATATAAACAGAATTTAATATTTTTAAAAAATCGTTCATAGTTGATTCTACAATCAACTAAAGTTTATTGCGATAGTAACTAACGTACACTGCAAAAAAAGAGTATTTGGATCAAATGAGCAGATAGTTTTAAATGGAATTATTTGCAGTAAATGTTATTTTATTCTATTCAAATTAATCAAGACAAATTTAGCATATTATAATCAAATTTACATTTTCTTGAAAGAAAATTGCAGGTCACAGAATGGCGTAGATAAGAAGTAGCACGATAGATGGAGCCACTTACGCCCTGTGTATACACACTAAAGCAGATGGATCTTGTAAAGATATGATGAGGACTATCATCAAGTTCCAAACCGACCTATGTCTGGTTGGTTAAACTTACAAACGATCCTAACTGTTGTAGTAGGTGTTGTGAGTTTGAAAGAAAATATGTTTTTTCTGAGAAATATATTCCAAGATATCCAAATATATTCTTAAAATAAGTATGTACAATCATTTGACCAAAACTATTCAATTTTGTATTAAACAAACGATACATTAATGTACAGTATAAAACATGTTTCTATAAAATCTATATAGATCATAAAATTAATTCGTTTAACCGTAAGTATCAAATATTTATTTTAAATGCTGCCTATTTTTAAAGTAAGAAATTATATTTCTTAAAATCAAATGTACAATTGAAGCAAGAAATTTTTGTGTGTAGTCACTATAATCTAGGCTAGGGACCTTAAATAATTTTCAGTTGTTTCTAGCAGCTTTTAATGCATTTGCAACTCTTGGAAAGTTAAAAAGAGTCACTATATTCCACGTTGTAGATATAAAATCTTAGTAATAGCTCTTATTTCATCTGTAGTTTTTCAAAATATAATATCGAGCCACAATAGTCTAAAGTGGGTATCTATAATCGTTTGTAGTAGCATTTATTATATTTGTAGTTGTTCGTAGTAGCATTTATTTCATTTGTAGCTCTTGGAAAGGTTACAGAGAGTCATGATATTCCAAGTTGTGGATATAAAACCGTTTGTAGCTGATTGCAGTAGCTTTTATTTAATTGTACCTCCAAATGTATTGTAGTCACTATAATTCAAGCTAAGTATATAAAATCATTCGGTAACTTTTATTTCTGACAGTAACTACTAAAGTGTAAATCTACAATACACTAAATTTAATCGCAACGAAAGCATTTGCAGCTCTTGGAAAGTTAACAGAGTCACTATATTCCACGTTGTAGATATAAAATCTTCGTAATAGCTCTTATTTCATCTGTAGTTTTTCAGAATATAATATCGAGCCACAATAGTCTAAAGTGGGTCTCTATAATCGTTTTGTAGCAGCATTTATTATATTTGTAGTTGTTCGTAGTAGCATTTATTTCATTTGTAGCTCNATCCCTCTTTATCCTGCCTCATCTCGTGTAGGCCTGGACAGCCTTCGTAGGTGGGCCCCATCCGTCGTCTACCCCGACCGCAAATGCGGCCGGTGTAGGCGCTTTGTGGGACCTCCTTTTGTCCTGGCTGGGCCCCGCCGGCTAGGGCC